AAAAAAAAAAAAAAAGACTGATGATTATAAATTTAAAATGGAGCCAGGCGCAGTGGCTCACACTTGTAATCCCAGCACTTTGGGAGGCCAAGGGAGGTAGATCTCTTGAGTCCAGGAGTTGAGACCAGCTTGGGCAACATGGCAAAACCCCATCACTACAAAAAATACAAAGATTAGCCAGATGTGGTACTGTGTCCCTGCAGTCCCAGCTACTCGAGGGGCTGAGGTGGGAAAATCACGTGAGCCAGGACATCAAGGCTGCAGGGAGCTGTAATAGTGCCACTGCCATCTAGCCTGGGTGACAGAGTGAGACCCTTTCTCAAAAAAATGAAAATATATAAATTTAAAATCAGTCAGCCTAGTTGTGATTTTCTCTAGTAATATTCAGCTGAGTGGAAGTAGACAGTTGGGTTTCACCATGGTGAGGTAAATAGGTTAGAAGTGTTAAGAGGCAAGTAATTTGATGAGAATTATAATGGAATAATTGTAATGAAGGAACATGGAGGGGTAAAAAGGATGCAAAGATAAAAGGTGATAAGCATTATTCTAAAAGTCTGTGATTACACAACACCAATTATTATTTTAAAAGAAATATTAAATATTTATCTTAGGTAATATTTGCCTCTAGTGTCGGGCGCGGTGGCTCAAGCCTGTAATCCCAGCACTTTGGGAAGCCGAGGCAGGTGGATCACGAGGTCAAGAGATCGAGACCATCCTGGTCAACATGGTGAAACCCCGTTTCTACTAAAAATACAAAAAATTAGCTGGGTGTGGTGGCACGTGCCTGCAATCCCAGCTACTCAGGAGGCTGAGGCAGAATTGCCTGAACCCAGGAGGCAGAGGTTGCGGTGAGCCGAGATCGCGCCATTGCACTCCAGCCTGGGTAACAAGAGCGAAACTCTGTCTCAAAAAAAAAAAAAAAAATTCGCCTCTAGCAAAAAGATCACCCTGTAGCTTTTCTTTTTAAGAAAACCAGGCCAGCACAGTGGCTCATGCCTATAATCCCAGCACTTTGGGAGGCGGAGGCTGGAGGATCACATGAGGTCGGGAGTTCAAGACCAGCCTGACCAACATGGAGAAACCCCATCTCTACTAAAAATACAAAAATTAGCCGGGTGTGGTGGTGCATGCCAGCTACTCAGGAGGCTGAGGCAGGAGAATCGTTTGAACCTGGGAGACGGAGGCTGCAGTGAGCCGAGATCGCACTATTGCACTCCAGCCTGGACAACAAGAGCAAAACTCCATCTCAAAAAAAATAAAAAATGAAAACCAATCGTTATTATCACTAAAATTTTAAGTTTACTAAGGCAGACACTGTGTTTGGTTCAAAGAATACAAAGAAGTATATGAATCCACTTCCTTAAGGTAGAAATGTAAAGGAACTGAGAAATTGGTCTACCACCCCTCATTTCACAAAGGTTTAGCAAAGGTTAAATGATATCCAAAATGACAATGCTTGCTCCTAGCAGAACCAAGGTTTCTGAACTTCCAGTCCAGCATTCTCCGAATCTAAGCCTCCAAAATATGTCATTAGAAAATTCCTGGAAGAGGCTGGGCGCGGTGGCTCACGCCTGTAATCCCAGCACTTTGGGAGGCCGAGGCGGGTGGATCACGAGGTCAAGAGATCGAGACCATCCCGGTCAACATGGTGAAACCCCGTCTCTACTAAAAATACAAAAATTAGCTGGGCATGGTGGCACGTGCCTGTAATCCCAGCTACTAGGGAGGCTGAGGCAGGAGAATTGCCTGAACCCAGGAGGCGGAGGTTGCCGTGAGCCCAGATCGCGCCATTGCACTCCAGCCTGGGTAACAAGAGCGAAACTCCGTCTCAAAAAAAAAAAAAATTCCTGGAAGAATGTACAAATATTCACAGGGCTATTCTTGGGAAATGGTAACAAGACTGGAGACATTTCCTACTTTTCACTTCAGTGCTATTGGAATTTTCTGCCATGTACACGAACTGCTTTAATAATAAATATAATGGGGTTAGTTTTTTTTTTTAAAGAAAGCATGGTACCCCGTGCATAGCAACCAAAACTGGACAGACACTTCCAATTTTTTACTATTTTTAAATGCAAGGCATATTAGCATTCTTGAAAAAATGCAAAGTACACCATTTTTTAACAACTATAAGCAAATGAGGCCATTTGGTAGATGATACCAAAATACTGCCCAAATCGCTGAATCATTTCTCACAATTTCAGTGAGATTTAGAAGTAAAAATTCCACTGCTACTGTGCAAAGACAAGGTAAAAATGGATTGTTCTATTGTGAACTGTAGTCAAATGCTTGCCTTTTTAAAATCAAGATCACATGTGTTTTCCACTCTCCACCTGGCTTATCATAAACTTCATCCTTAGAATCTGCTAAAAATATATTTTTTGTTTGTTTTTTTGAGACGGAGTCTTGCTCTGTCACTCAGGCTGGAGTGCAGTGGCATGATGTCAGCTCACTGAAACCTCTGCCTCCCAGGTTCAAGAGATTCTCCTCCCTCAGCCTCCTAGGTAGCCGGGATTACAGGCACCCACTACCATGCCCAGCTAATTTTTTTTTATTTTTAGTAGACAGAGGGTTTCACCATGTTGACCAGGCTGGTCTTGAACTCCTGACCTTAAGTGATCCGCCTGCCTCGGCCTCCCAAAGTGCTAGGATTACGGGAGTGAGCCACCATGCCCAACCTAAAAAAATATTCTTACAACTTTGACCCCGTATGAAATGTCTTTTCCCTGCTGCTCACAAGAAAGGTTAACTATTTTATTAGGTTCTAATTCTAGTGAATTAAAATTTTAAAGTAGGCAGGGAGCAGTGGCTCACACCTGTAATCCCCAGCACTTTGGGAAGCCAAGGCAGGTGGATCACAAGGTCAGGAATTCAAGACCAGCCTGGCCAACACAGTGAAACTCCACCTCTACTAAAGAAACAAACAAACAAAAATTAGCCAGGCCTGGTGGCACGCACCTGTAGTCCCAGCTACTCAGGAGGTTGAGGCAGAACTGCTTGAACCCGGGCGGCGGCGGAGGCTGCAGTGAGCCGAAGGTTGCAGTGAGCTGAGATCACACCACTGCACTCCAGCCTGGGCAACAGAGCAAGACTGTCTCAAAAAAAAAATTAAAATAGGTTATTTCAGTTTCTTGGGTTAGCTTATGACTTCAGATATATTCCTCAACACAATGCCTCCAAGTAACCTCAGAGTAGATGAATGTCCAAAGAAGCTAGTGTTCAAACAAGTTTGACAGTGGCCATATAATTCCCCAAGATACTTGAAGGGAAAGAGGCTGGCTTAACTGGTTTTGTTAATGCAAGGAAAACAGAGCAGTGCCAATTCCCTAGCTTCCTATTCTCCATTCCACCCCACTCTACTCCAGAGCAATATGAGCTAGGCTCTGGATTGCCACACAGACAAGGGAGGCAAAGGACATGGTGTTAAATTCTTTGTTCCATGACGTGACTGTGCTAGATTCCCATTTTTTGGATGCTAGGTTTGTTCCGACGGCAAAAATCATTGGACCTTAACCTGGTTTCAAATAATCATTTAAATATAAGGTTTTGGTGGGGAGCGGTGGCTCACGCCTGTAATCCCAGCATTTTGGGAGGCTGAGGCAGGTGGATCACCCGAGGTCAGGAGTTCAAAACTAGCCTGGCCAACACGACGAAATCCTGTCTCTACTAAAATTACAAATACTAGCCGAGTGAGGTGGGGCATACCTGTAATCCTAGCTATTTGGGAAGGTGAGACAGGGGAATCTCCAGACTGGGTGACAGAGTGAGATTTCATCTCAAAAAAAAAAAAAAAAATATATATATATATATATATATGTTTGAATATATATTATATACTATGTATTGTATATATTATATGTATTTTTAAATATATATATGGTTTTAACTGTAGCCATTCTTATACTAAACAGTGGATCTCCTCTTTAGGAACAGGGATAGTCAAACTATGGCCAGCAGGCCAAATCCAAAACACAAAGTTTTATTGGAACACTGCCATGTGCCTTTGTTTATTAGCTATGACTGCATTCCCACTAGAACAGCAGAGCTGAGTGGCTGTGACACAAACAGCATGGCCTGCAAAGCCTAAATATTAACGACACGGACTTCCACAAAGCAGTCTGCTGACTCTTTTGAGATTGCTTCCTCGCTCTCATCTGCGTCAAAGATCCTGCATACCCTGCCTGTTGCTCAGCGCTGACTTCCCAACCTGTTGCCCCTCACTCACTCGGTTTGTTCCAGTCTTACATAACTCCTTTGCAGTTCCCTAAATGAGCCACGCTCTTGCTTAATTCAGAGCCCAGGTACTCTCCACTGTCTCTGCTTTGAATGTCATCCTCTCCTTAACAAAGCACCTCCACGGTCCTTGAAACTTCACTCGTCTCCCCCTGCGTCTTCCATGACGCCTGCCCCTCTAACGGATACGAACTTTTCTGCATATACTGTAATTCTCACAGCGGCCGCCCTTACGAGTTCTTTAACAGCAGAACTTACGTCTTTTGTTGCCTACTCCTATCCCTTAACCCGTAGCTGATACCCAGTAGGCGCTGGACACTTGGTTCAATTCTTGAGGGGCATCCAACGGCTATGTGTGGCTCTGGAGGTACTCGGGCTGGAAACGCATCTCGGGGTGGCGAGGCCAGATGCACTAAGCAGACACGTGGGCTGCAGGGAGGTGAAGCAACCTCCTCAAACACCACCTATTCCAGAAACGCTCCAAATGCTCCAACGGGCGGCCGCCCTTTTGTAGCTTTCCTTGCATAGCGGTAGACTCTCTCCATCTCCGCTCGGTCCTCCCACTTAGGAGGACTCCAGGCTGCCCAGGGGCGGACCTCTGGGGCCGCGGAGGGTGCCAGCATCGCCGGCCTCCAGGCCGAGCGCCCGGTCCCCGCCCGGCCAGGCCAAGCCGCCCCGAGCCTCCCAGCCCCCGGGGTCCCTCGGCTCCCCTCACCCACCGGTGGCCTCGTTCCCATCTCCCTCGCTCGCCACCCGGCGGCTCTCACCTCGGTCCCAGACTCAGTCCTATGGAAGTCACTACACATCGCCCCGTAGGCTCGGCGCACCAGGAACTCAACTTTCCCGCCACCAACGCCATTCACCGACGGCGCGGACCCTACAGCCAGTCAAACCCGCCCACCCGCGCGCGTGCGCACCGAGACAGGACGCGGCGCCAAGGCGGGAGCATGCGCAATGGGGTGCGCGTGCTCTGGTGACGTCAGACTCCCGCGTCCCCAGCGGCGCTCTCCGGCGTCTCCCTGGGGACTGGGCAGGGGTGGCGGTCGGGGGACCATTGGTGCTTTTCTTCTCTGTCGTCAACTTCGGTTCGTTACTATTGCATTAGGTAAAACTGGCCGCACGTCCTTTGTTTACCCATTAAAATACATGTACTGCACAAGCAGGCCTTTTTGTCCGTTCTCGGGCGAGTGCGATTCATGGTTAATTCTGGGAAAAAAAAAAAAAAAAAAGATAAAAGTATACTAAATTTAGGCCGGGCGCGGTGGTTCACGCCTGTAATCCCAGCACTTTGGGAGGCCGAGGAGGGGGGATCACGAGGTCAAGAGATCGAGACCATCCTGGTTAACATGGTGAAACCCCGTCTCTACTAAAAATACAAAAATTAGCTGGGCATGGTGGCGCGTGCCTGTAATCCCAGCTACTCAGGAGGCTGAGGCAGGGGAATTGCCTGAACCCAGGAGGCGGAGGTTGCGGTGAGCCGAGATCGCGCCATTGCACTCCAGCCTGGGTAGCAAGAGCTAAACTCGTCTCAAAAAAAAAAAAGAAAAAAGAAAGGGAGAAAGATTCAAAATAGATGAATATGTCTTTCATCTGACCTAAAGACCTTTGTACTATTTATTTCTTGTTGGCAGCTTCCACCTTTCAGCTTCAAGCAGTTCTCAGGCCTCAGCCTCCAGCATATCTGAGATTACAAGTACATGCCACCATGACTGGCTAATTTTTGTATTTTGGGTAGAGAAAGGGGTTTCACTATGTTGGCCAGGCTGGTCTCGAACTCCTGACCGCAAGTGATCCTCCAACCTCACTCTCCCAAATTACTGGGATTACAGGTGAGAGCCATCATGCCCAACTTTGTTAAACTTTCTTGATAAAGGTTTGGATCTTAGTTTTAGGATTTGAAGAACTAAAATATTAGAGCTGGCAATGATAATGTCCATCTTTGGGCTTTAAGAGATAAAAATTTGGGCTGGACACAGTGGCTCAGGCCTGGAGTCCCAGCACTTTGGGAGGCCAAGGTGGACAGATCTCTTGAAGTCAGAAGTTCGAGACCAGCCTGGCCAACATGGTGAAACCTTGTCTCTACTAAAAATACAACAATTAGCCAGGTGTGGTGGCACATGCCTGTAATTCCAGCTATTCGGGAGGCTGAGACAGGAGAATCGCTTGAATCTGGGAAGCAGAGGTTGCAGTGAGTCAAGATCACACCACCACACTCCCGCCTGGGTGACAGACACTCCCGCCTGGGTGATAGAACAAGACTCTGTCTCAAAAAAAAAAAAAAAAAAAAAAAAAAAAAAGCACTAGAAAAGAGCATGAACCAATAAAATATTTCTTATGGGTAACACTAAAGTTGCTCATTTTGTAAATTAGAATGGTTTTGGTTGCAAGTCACAGAATACCCAACTCTTGTTTACTGAAACAATAAATGGGCTTTACCGGGTGACATCACTAGAAGTCCAAAGGCAAGACAGGCTTCAAGGTTAGTTTACTGCAGAGGCTTGATTAGGCAACCGCGTACCTAATTTCTTTTCACTTGTCAGATTCATATTCTCTACCTTGGCCTCTTCTCTACCTATGGCAACGGGTCCACATGTGGAACATTAACAAGCTTCAGGGAATGAGATTGGTCTGGTTATCTTAGGCCTGAGCCATGTGCCCATGTCTATCCGGAGTAGGGACAAATTCTTTCAAAGCATATAGGCTCTGCGGAAAGGTGTGGAGAACAGTAAATGACAGTAACAACAAATTGTGAATCGTTAACAAGAGGAGTGGGAGTGGATGCTTGGGAGGCCACCTCTGTCTTTCTTTTTCCCCTTTCTCATGTTGCTGAACCACTATCTTCATTACACCCTCTGTGATGAGGATATGTGTCCACCAAAACACATATGTGGGTCAACCCCTGCATCCATTGCATGCGCTTCTATACAAAGTAAATGCTTCCTCACATGGTAAATCAATATTTGAGAAAGAAGAATTTACAATTGAATAGCTGCTCTAGGCTAAATTAGTTTTTCAGTATCCACACAGTTCCTAATGAAGTCAGCATGTCAGCCGAACTAGCTTAGTCCATTAAGTGCACACCTGTTTGTGTGAGCCATCTTGCACAACATGGTTTTGAAATTACTTCAGTTTTAACGCTCTGGAAACATCACTTCTTGTTTAAAAGGATACTTGAAGCACTCTCACAAATTGCTCGTGGTCATGAAGACATACGGTCTTTTTGGATAAGAATTTGGCAATATCATTTTAAAAAAATTAATAGAGACAGGGTTTCGCCACGTTGCCTAGGCTGGTTTCCAACTCCCGGGCTCAAGTGATCCTACTGCCTCGGTCTTCTAAAGTGCTGGGATTACAGGCCTGAGCCACCGCACCTGGCCGACTTTGGCAGTAACTAACCAAATGACGCATGTATTAACTTTCTGACTGAGCAGTCCTAATTCTAGGATTTAGCTTGAAGTCATACTTCCAACACTGCAAAAACATATATGCAAAAAAGCATATTGCAACATGGTTTGTAATTGCAAAATCCTGGAAACGGCCTAAATGCTTATACATAGGAGAGTGGTTGAAAACAATACACCACTGCCGCAAAATGGAGCACTGTGCAGCTGCAACAAAGAACGGCCGAGATCTCTGTGCATCTGTAAGGAATGAGTTCCAGGATACGGCATTAAATGAAAAAGGCAAAGGGGCATGGGGTGTCCACAGTTTGCCAGCTTTCCTGTAACAATCGGTGGAGAAAGAAGGAGACACACATGTTTCTGCTCATTTGGGCTAAAAGAAACACAGGAAGCATACATAAGAAACGACGGCATTCTTTATCTAGAGAGGGTAGATAAAAATAGATTGGGGCCAGGCAAGGTGGCTCAGGCCTGTAATCCCAGCACTTTGGGAGGCTGAGGCGGGTGGATCACCTGAGGTCAGGAGTTTGAGACCAGCCTAGTCAACATGGCAAAACCCGGTCTTTACTAAAAATACAAAAATTAGCCAGGCATGGTGGCACCTGCCTATAATCCCAGCTACTCAGGAGGCTTTGGCAGGAGAATCGTTTGAACCTGGGATGGTGGAGGTTGCAGTGAGCCGAGATTGTGCTATTTCACTCCAGCCCGGAAAACAAGAGTGAAACTCTGTCTCAGAAACAACAACAACAAATAGGTTGGAAAAGTGGGGTATGGTGACTCACATCGGTAATCTCAGCACTTTGGGAGGCCAAGGAGGGCAGATCATGAGTCAAGAGATGGAGACCATCCTGGCCAACACGGTGAAACCCTGTCTCTACTAAAAATACAAAAATTAGCTGGATGTGGTGGCAAGCACCTGTAGTCCCAGCTACTTGGGAGGCTGAGGCAGAAGAATTGCTTGAACCAGGATGACAGAGATTGCAGTAAGCTGAGATCACACCACTACACTCCAGCCTGGGCAACAAGAGCGAAACTCTGTCTCATAAATAAATAAATAAATAAATAAAATAACAGGTGTTGGCGAAATGGTAAAGGGAACACTTATACACTGTTGGCAGGAGTGTAAATTAGTTCAATCATTATGGAAACCAGTGTGGTGATTCCTCAAAGAGCTAAAAACATATCTACTATTTTACCCAGCAATCCCATTACTGAGTATATACCCAGAAGAATATAAATCATTCTACCATAAAGACACATGCACGTGAAAGTTCACTGCAGCACTATTCACAACAGCAAAGACATGAACTTAACCTAAATGCCCATTAATGACAAATTGTATTTTTTAAATGTGGTACATATATACCATGAAATACTATGCAGTAATAAAAAAAATTAAACATTAAAAAATTTTTTAAAAAAACAAGATTGGCCAGGCATGGTGGCTCATGCCTGTAATCTCAACACTTTGGGAGGCCAAGGCAAGTGGATCACCTGAGGTCAGGAGTTCAAGACCAGCCTGACCGACATGGTGAAATCCCTTCTCTACTAAAAATACAGAAATTAGCCAGCTGTGGTGGCACAAACCTTTAATCCCAGCTACTCAGGAGACTGAGCCAGGAGAATCACTTGAACCCAGGAGGTGGAAGTTGCAGGGAGCTGAGATCCTGCCATTGCACTCCAGCCCGGGTGACAGAATAAGACTGCCTCTCAAAAAGGAAAAACAGAAAAACAAGATTGGCCAGGTGCAGCGGCTCATGCCTGTAATCCCAACACTTTGGAAGGCCAAGGCGGGAGGATTACCTGAGGTCAGGGGTTCAAGACCGGCCTAGTAAACATGGTGAAACCCCGTCTTTACTCAAAACTTCAAAAAAGCCGGGCGCGGTGGCTCACGCCTGTAATCCCAGCACCTTGGGAGGCCGAGGTGGGTGGATCACAAGGTCAAGAGATCGAGACCATCCTGGTCAACATGGTGAAACCCCGTCTCTACTAAAAATACAAAAAAATTAGCTGGGCATGGTGGCGCGTGCCTGTAATCCCAGCTACTCAGGAGGCTGAGGCAGGAGAATTGCCCGAACCCAGGAGGCAGAGGTTGCAGTGAGCCGAGATCGCGCCATTGCACTCCAGCCTGGGTAACAAGAGTGAAACTCTGTCTCAAAAAAAAAAAAAAAAAAAACTTCAAAAAAATTAGCCAGAGGTGGTGGTAGACACCTATAATCCCAGCTACTTGGGAGGCTGAGGCAGGAGAATCGCTTGAACCCGAGAGTTGGAGGTTGCAGTGAGCCGAAATCATGCCATTGCACTCCAGTATGGGTGACATAGCAAAACTTTTTTTTTTTTTTTTTTTTTTTTGAGACGGAGTTTTGCTGTTGTTACCCAGACTGGAGTGCAATGGCACGATCTCGGCTCACCACAAGCTCCACCTCCTGGGTTCAAGCAATTCTCCTGCCTCAGCCTCCTGAGTAGCTGGGGCTACAGGCGTGCACCACCATGCCCGGCTA